TAGGCCATGGCTAATGTATACAGGGTCGGCGCAGGGTGTTATGACGCCTCCTCTGATAATATTTTTTCATTTTTATACCCGGTACTCGAAGAGTAAATAGGGTATTTTGTATTTGTACATATGTATGTAACTCACAAAAGGAAACGTTTCCGATCCCATAAAGTGTTTATATTCTTGATCAGCATCAATAGCCGAGTCGATAAATCAATGTCTGTCTTTCCGTTCGTCCGTCCGTCAGAGACTATAAAAGCTAGAGCAACCAAATGTTGCATCCAGATGGCAGTATGCTCACACTGATACAAGTGTATTTACAAAATTTTCGTTTATTCAAAATGAGTGGAAAACTCGCATTCGATCGTTGGTGATAGTAGGTGCACCTGAAAAACTTCGATCTACTCTGGACAAGCAAAGTCAACCAAATTCTGGGAGAAAAACACACATTGGTAAAGACATCTACGAGTAAACAGTTTTTTTTTATTATCTTGAAGAACGTTTGGTAGCCGGTTGAGTTAGTTTAGTTTTATATGCCGCAATTGAGTCCACTCCTTATTTAGCACCAGTCAATTTTGGAACTTTAATTTTCTATTGAGAATTTTGTGCAATTGTGTGTAAATTGTCGTAAAAACCCCAAACGATTTTTTTGATTTTCCAACTGCTTGACAGAAGCGGAATTCATCATGAAAGAACCAGTTCAGAATTTATCTGGTGTGAAGATAGTCATCTCAACTCAATTAATATTTAAAACTAAGACTAAGTTAATATATTTTCCAAGTAGCAAAACAAGTTAATAAAGTGAGTAACAAGGACAGTTCAGGAAATGCAGGCTTCGCTCAGATACATATCGGAGAATCCTTAAACTTAGGCGACAATATTGATTCAGAATTTCAGAGATACTACGATGGGTAAAAAAATAAGGATTTTTTGCCAAAATATACTGTATGTATGTGTATATTTTGGGGAGTTATACCGAAAAATGGAACTTTGACCCATCGGTACCTTGCTAATGAAAATATAATTTATGTTTGTTGCTCTTTATACCCGGTACTCGAAGAGTAAATAGGGCTTATAGTTTTTGTGGTAAAAAAATATAAAACATAGAAGGAACCGTTTCCGACACCACAAGCTATATGTATATTTTCTTCACCTGCATGTACATATGTACATAAAAACGAGTACACATGTACATATATACAGCTCTGTTCAATAAAATAGTAGTGCCGGACCTCCTCACATTCAAAGACTTTTTTGAGACACTTCCAGACTTTTAATTTAAACAAATTATAGGTTTTTGAATAGAGTGAAATGTAGGCTTTAGAAAATCTAAGAAATCCCTACACATTTGCATTCCTTCTTCTTGTTTTTCATATTTTTTGACGGATACCCTTCAAATGGGCTGTTCATTGAAATAGTAGTGCTGAGTGCAAGTACTTCAAAATAATAAAAAAAAACACAACAAATAAATTCGAAAAAGTCACCATCGATCACCTAATCTATTAAATTAAATATTTTGATGAAAGAAATGTTTGGAGCTTTGAAAAATCATTGTTTGCTCCAGTAGAGGATAACTAAGATATTGATTAAAAACTAAAGCCAAGAGGTATAATGGAATTGAAAACTAAGTTGAATGTGCTCTTACAATTGCAAATAATCATTTTAACTAGAAGAAGATTCCTTAAAAATGATCTTTTATGAGAAAAACGTATCTTTTAGAGGTTGGTCGGAGATGGTCGAAGGCAAGGTCAAGGTCTTCAATATCCTTAAAAGTTATGAAAACAATTTTATATCGCTCTGTAAGTGTTATGACAGCTCGTTGACGACTGACTAGACATTATTTAATTGCAAGAAGTCCCAGAAAGCTACGCGTTTGGTTCTGAAGGTATAGGGGTGTACGGCTAAAGTTCGCAAGAACGCATTGGCTGAGCTGTGTCCCAGTGACAAAAAAATACTTTTGACTGATGAGTGTAAAGTTGTATAATATGGTAAAAAAAAGGACAAAAAATAATAGGTTTGGCGTTCACTGGCATCAGATTAGTATACAAATTCTTGAAAAAAACAGTATTGGGAATGAAAGCCCTATCAGTTTCAGCCCATACGAAGTGCTACTTCTTATCCTCCTAGTTGGAGCATTTTACAAAATTGTGTGGGCCAGCATAATTTTTCATACATTACATTCATATTCCAGTTGAAAAAAACATTTGAAAAGGAATTTTCAACAAGATAATGAATACTCAAGAAAGCTCGCCAATTGGGAGGGGAAATTGGGTTTCATCTGAAAAGATCGGCGTTTTTCGATGTTCAAATCAGTCCCTGGATCTGAATGTTAACAAAATCTTATAGGGGAATGCCAAATGCATTATAATAATAATAGCAATTCCGGCATCCAGAGCAAAGTAAGAGCCAGTGTTTCCAAAATTATTGGCTAAAATCCTATTGAAGCTTGGGCAGGACCTTATTGATTTATTCCATGCGGGAGTAAAGAAATAATAAAATCAAAATTAATAAAATACTAAATATTAAAGACCAAGAAACATGTAGGGCATAAAAGATGGGTATTAACTAAAGTTTCGGTTTTTATTTTTCGATTTTCAAAAAATTCACTACTATTTCATTGGACATCACTTTTCATGGGTATTTTTTATGGGTATTATATTATATTCTATTAGGGTATTATTTATCATGTAAAACAATAACATGGCGAAGGTTCCTTCGGGTTTCTAAGAGTACATTTTAAGCTTTCTAAAAAGGTACTTGTTTAATTTTGATGATTGAAAATGTCTTTAAAATAGTTTTGAAAGTCTATCTTGAAAGTATGTATGTACATCAACTGTGGCAGAGTCTACAGCGACTCCGCTTCATTTAGTTTCGTTGAAATATGAGTACTTAAATAAGAAATGGCAAGGGGTAGAGAGGGAATGTCCTTTTTTCGCCATGGCAACACTTAACGATTTAAGAAAAATGAATTCTTGTTTCAATATCCTTGACGTGGCCTGGAATGGAACTCGGACTCGGACACGGTCACGGACACTGAGTGTCTAGGACGGCAATGGAAAGGGCGATGAAAATGGCAATGTCAATGGCGACGGGTTATCCACTGTTGCCATTTGAACAATATTTTATGTAAAGTCCTGACCCAGGACCGTTTCACAATACGTTGTAACCCGTTCGCCAGCTCCTCCCTTGGCGGCTTTAATTTAAAGGCAAAAGGTAGCAGATTACTGATTCCCCTCGACTGAGGTGCTCTACCTACTTTGATTTCGTTTCCCGTGCTTAGAGTTAATATTTGTGCACCGTCGATTTTTCCCTGTAGTGCCTCCTCCTCAGCATTGAGCCCCTCCCACAATCCTCTATTTTTTCTTAGATTTCGTTGCTTCGATGTACCAAGGACGGGCTCCCAAGATCCACGTTCACATCCAGTAATAACACTACTCGACAAACTCGAACTTTTTTTTTCCTTAAGGAACCATGGAACCGGTAGTCCTTTTTCATAGGTAGTATCTTAGATTTTGTTGTAAGAAACATTGACATTACCTTCATATACATTTACATCACTTCTCTAAACCCCTAAACCGCACACTGCATAGGCACTGCAGAGGCAGAGGCCGCACACTGCAGAAGCAGAGTGTGAATGAGAGAATTTGCAATCTGTGTGATCCGATAGATATGGTCATTCCCTACGGAATGTCGTTATTGGAATTCTTGTATCTTCAAAACTGTGGATACCGCAGATTTTCGCGATTTGAGGGGGCGGAAGGGGGCTGGGCGAAATTTTGAAATACACTTGTAGCAGTAAGAGCATACAGCCATCAATATGCAAAATTTGGTGGCTCTAGCTTTTATTGTCTCTGGACGGACGCTTAATCGACTCGGTTATTGATGCTGATCAAGAATATGTTACTTTGTGGGGTCGGAAACGCTTCCTACTGTGTGTTAAATTTTTTCCTCACAAATACAATATTCCCTATTTACTCTTCGAGAACCGGGTATAAAAATATATCATCAGACCATCTCTAAGCTGGTTGGGTTCCTTGCGGGAAAACGTGTCGGGTAGTGTAATCGAGATTGCCACTCCAAATGGAGCCAGGAGGCCATTACGGCCTGTTATCGCACAAATCCCATAATTCCATTTTTGTTTTAATTTCCGCTATTAGACGTAAATTGAGTTTCCATTGCAAATACATTTCCATAATTGTGTGCTTGTGTGTGTTAGTGTGTGTGTGGCCGTGCTTCCTCTCTATCCAGGCTTGCAGCTTCGGTATGAGGGAATAAGTCCAACGCCCTTTAGGTGAACTGTCCCACTGGGTCTGCCATCTGCTGATGCTGTTCGTCCTTGCGGTAGCCTTCAGCTCGGCTCTTGTCGCCTCGCTTCCGCCCTGCGCGGCTGCATCGATCTCTGATCTCTCTCTTATTAGCTCCCTGAGTGGGACTTGCCCCGCGATGACCAGCGCTGCTTCGTCCGACACAGTTCGGAACGAGCACGCTATCCTTAGGGCACACAGCCTTTACGTCGCCTCCGCACCTCGCATGTAGGTCTTCACCTGAGCGGCTTTCGCCCACGCGGGCGCGGCGTACAGGATCTGCGACGTCACAACACTCGTCAGGAGCTTCCGCGTTGCCTGCTTCGGGCCTCTGGTGTTGAGAAGCATTCGCAAGAGCGCTCCTGCGGTTCCGCTGGCCTTCCTCTGCACGTACTCCAAGTGCTCCTTGAAGGAGAGGCGAGTGTCGATGAGCACCCCGAGGTACTTGATTACCCTCTGCGAGCGTATCGTGGTGCCACCGACCTGCACACTTGCTGTCTCTACAGTTTTCCGGCTCGATATGAGCACCGCCTCAGTTCTGCGCTGCTAGGTCCAATCTGGCGACCATAAGCCACGACTCCACGGCTCGGACGGCCGCGTTGGCTAGCTCCTTCACTGCGGTGAGGTGCTTGGCCACCACCACTATGGCGACGTCATCCGCAAACCCCACCATGCTTGTTGTGTGTGTGTGTGTGTGTGTGTGTGCGTGTGCGTGTGTGTGCTACGGGCTCAAATCATCGCAATCATATGTGTGTGTGCATACATACATATGTACATGTTCGACCTATAGCGACTACTAACTCGGCCCACTCGATTCGGTCAGATCAGTGCTGCTCAAGAATTTCGATGAAGGCTATACCGCATACCACGTATCCATGGCTGATGCTGCTGCTGGCCGCGACCATGCCGCTACCACGAGCCACGGGTGGGTCCTGCCGCGAAGCTCAGCTCTGCTGCAACGGGCGCGACTCTTCCTGCGTGGTGCAGAAAGACCCCGTCAATGCCATCATCGAAAACTTAAGTGATAAGCCTTGCTACTGCGATCACGCCTGCCTGAAACTGGGCGACTGCTGCGACGACTTTAAGGACCACTGTGGGGGTGAGTACAAGGCATAGGACTTATGTATCCTATGTTTCTGCGATTACAATTTGCAACACAAACATAATTCTTAAACTTATGATAAGAAATGATGGGTCAGGGCATCGTTTCCAATACCCTGCCATCAAAAGGCTCCATATAAGTAGAGTTGCTGTTGAATATCGTTAATATTTTGAACTTCCGTTAGAATAGATTAAATAGGATAAATATAAAATTATAATAATAGTTTTTACGAAACCAAATGTGTCATTTTTCAGTCTTTTATTTTTGAATATGAACGGAGTGAGAACAGGTATTTTTTTAAGTTTAACCATGTTGGAAATATGTATTTTTGATTTGACCGGAGTTGGCAGTCCGAAAGTAGACTCCGAGGGGAGAAAAAATAAAATATTGGACAAGAGATGAAGCGTGTGCGTGAGAAAGAAGAGTTAAAAAAAACAAATTTGGTTTTTTTCTGAAGTATTTTAGACGACAAATTTGGACGCCGGTAGACAGTATGGTCTATAAAGTAGGATCAACGCGGTCCAGCGAGTGACAATTCGGTCGTTCGAGCCGGATAACCCAACTCCTGCCTCTTTGTTAGGTGAGTTAGTAACAACAATAGTTTTTTTTCAAGCTCTCAAGCTGTATGGGGTATGTTTGCTTATTTCTGGAATTAGGTTATTTATATGATATATTATCCAGTGGAAATTCAGATCACATATAGCGTATTGGGAAAAATTAACGAGTGGATCGAGAGTGGCACTTACATATGTCACTAATGTGACTAGTGTCTAATGTCAATAAATTAAATATGTACATACTATATGGCATTTTGGAGAGAGCACACAGTGGGAGCTAAAAAAACATGTACCTATGTTCTGGCTACAGTCGATTTTAAAATCTATTTTTATACCCAGTACTCGAAGAGCAATTAGGGTATATTGTATTTTTGAATAAAGTGGATGTATGTAGGTTAGGTTAGGTTAGGTTGATTCGGTTGTCGAGATTTCACAATCGCGACACACTTAGGCCGGATTCGGCCCGTTGTGATTCTATCTTCTCCCGCTTTGTACGATGTCAGCAGTGCTCCCATGCAGATGCTTTCACAAAGTTTGCTATCTTCCTGGGGCCTATAGTAGCCATTTCTGAAATGTCGTTAAGAAAAGGTGAGCCTTGATATCTTTGCCTCCCTCTACTGAGAGCCGGACAGGAGCAGAACAGATGTTCTACTGTCTCCTTCTCGTCCTCGACTCTACAGCTACGACAGAAGTCGTTATAGGGGGCACCAAGCCTATTTGCGTGTTTGCTTATTAGCCAATGTCCTGTGAGGGAGCGAGTGACTACGCTGCATATATTTCTGCTGAGTTTACACAGCTCAGCGGTGCGCTTTTTCGAGATGTCTGGCCACGCTTGTCGGGTGATGCGACATCTTGGGACCATTTGCCATCTGTTGGTTGTTTGCTGGGTATAGTACTCTTTTATTTTGAGCTTGCAAGTGGCATACGTATTTCCTCCTTATCTTGGTTAAGGGGGAGTGTGGTGCCGGATCTGGCCAACTCATCTGCTACGCAATTGTCTTCAATGTCCTAGTGTCCCGGGACCCATATTATTCTTATAACATATTGCCCTGCCATCTCATGTAGAGATTTGCGACAATTTGCCACTGTGGTCGAATTCGACGAAATCGCGTTTAGTGATTTAAGTGCCGCCTGGCTGTCACTATAGATATTTAGGTGAGTAACCGCGACGGAGGTCTCTTGAAGGCACCTCACCGCCTCATTTATCGCAATGACTTCCTCTTGGATGACACAGCAGTGATCTGGAAGACGGAATGAATGCCTCATATTTAGTTGCTGGAGTAAGTTTGGATCCATCAGTAAAGATGTTTATGGCCCCCTTTGGGCCAGGTGTGCCCTCGAGCCATTCCTCTCTGCGGGGGATTATAGCCTCGAAGGGGGTAGCTGTGTACTCTCTGGGAACACAATTATCAGTTCTATGAGGTAATATGTTAGTGTCCCTAAAGATCGCCGAGCGGCCATAGGGTCGTGACGTGTAGCGTGCAGGTGTGGGATAGCTGTATTTTTACCCAAACTAGTACAAAGAGATTTCGTGTGCACCTCTAGTTATGCTCTAGCTAAGCTCGACGGATTGTCGGGTTCGTACTGACACACACTCGCATAATGTTTAAGGTGCCCATTTAAAAAGAATCAAAAATCAAAAGGCAGAACACCGGTTAAACTGAACTGAGTGTATGGAAAGTGGATTAATTATTTGTGGTTGAGGAAAAGGGGGATGTTGACATCAACTACTCTATTCAAGTCACGGGAAACTCAGGTGTCGTCGAGAATCCCTCTTCTCTAGCCTCCCAACCTATGCCATACTGGTAAATCGAACCGTATAGACCCTAGAACAATCTGGCAGTTTTCATCCTACCACTTTAATACCCTTACTCCTTTCGTAATCGTTGAGCTCAAGGATGACGTACGTGCTGGTTTCTGGGGAAAAATAGAAGGTATTAAAAATATATGCACACGAACGTACCTGCAAGTACGATTTCAATTTATTATTTCATACCCACTCTTTTCTACAAACAATCATGATTCCCGATGCTTGAATATACATATATATAACTGCCAGAGAATTGGCCTTAAAATGGCATATCGAACTTAATCCCAGAAAATGTGCAAAGTAACACAGCATAACTCCGGAAATCTGTCTTGCTGTTGGCGGTGGCTCCTCTGTAGTCAGGTCCGTCAAAATCACGCCCAATGTTCTAGCTCTGGACACTGGGCTAAAATGTGGCACATCCGGCTTGATGTCAATCTGCCGCTTACATAAGCACTAAAGTGCTCGACAAACTGGTCTTCTCAGTGGAGCTGGTGAAAGGTTCCGAGGCGCCGCCTTACGCGCTGAGCTTCCTAAGGGTTGCTACGCCTCACTTATGTTGACCCAAGTCAGAGGTTTTCGGGGCTCGGCGTTTCGGAGCAGAAGAGGGGAGAATCGAATTCTACTCCTTGTAGATTGGGGGATCACTTCGGTGATACGCCTCTCGTGGAGCACCCCGTCTATGTACTTATACGCACTTAGGCTGCAACGTCGAAACGGGCTCCTGACCTCTGTCCTATAAACTTAATTTACATAAATTACATTGATCTGTTTTCGCTTCCTACGGCCGACGTACCTTGACTGGTTATTTTTCGCACTTGGTAGTAGGACAGAGATTCCTCAGAATATACGGTTTTTGCAAAAAAATTGCACCGCGAGGGATTTCGTAAGTTATGTGTAGGTTACGTATATATATATATATACTGCTTGACACAATCACGTCGCTTTTCTTTGATCGACTCTTTGCTAATAACTCTAGCGAAACTCATCTAAGTTAAATTTTTCTGTACAGAACATAAAGCTCAAAGATCGGATGATGTTTGAGAGCTTTAACGGGACAATCGTATGATCTTTCGCTGAATTGAGTGAAATTTCGGTCAAACGTCAAGGGCAAATTCTATGCTCTCGATACCTTACTCTCTTCTTTAAGATAAGCGCACGCTCTCGATTGCACGTGCTAACACTGCAGCGAATCTCTTTCGTAAGCTCAGCGTAAAGCTTGGGCCCATGGTACAATTACTAATAGGTAACGTCGTCAGCTGAGTGGAGGAGCACCAGCTTATTATCCACGCTCTCTCAGCTCTCAGAGAGTCAGGCGCTAGAGAGAGATAGCAAACGTTTTACGTTCAGCACTCTTCGTTTTTATTGTTTCTGCTGATAGCAAAGTAAACATTAGGAGAGGCATAGCAAAAAATATTTTGCAGGCATGTTTGTTTGTAAAAAAGATGTAATTGAATAAAGATTCAATTACATACACATTTCATTACACATACAAAATAGAATAGTAGTTGCATGAATATTTCATTGTCTTCCGCTTACGTCTTCATTCGTAAACAATGAAGAACAGAAGAAGACAATGCAAAAATCGTGCGCTACACAACCTCTTTCGTCGACGTTTGGCAAATGACTGACAAGCTGGTGTTCCTCGAATGAGAAGCACTGTGGTGAATCCGTCACCTATTAGTAATTTCACCATGCTTGCGCCTACCGTCCACTTTCGGAGTTCTCTTTCGGAATGCACTTTTAAGCGCTACTGAACATGCAATTATGTTTATCAGTGATGCTCTGCTGCAAGGTCTATGCCCTACAGGCATAGGATGGCATTTAGTGCATCATTTGTTGTGGTGCGGAGAGCGCCACTGATGCAAAGAGTGGGCTTTTGCCAGTTGAGCGGTAATTGTCTGGATGTAACGCACAGACTGGAAAAGTATCCAAAATTTTGAAGATAAAAGAAAACTAAAAAAGCTATTGCATAAGGAAGGACTATATCTATCAGATCGCCGAATTGGGATCATTATTACAACCAGAATGAAGAAATTCATTTGCAGTGGCTACCCCCACCTGGTCCAGCAGCTTTGCATATTTTGTGCACATTCTCTCATTCCACACTTTGCTTCGTGCAGTGCGTGGTTCTTCTGAAGGGGGGCGAGGTAAATGAACGTGTTGGCTTGAGAAGTAATGTAGATGACATACATATGTATGTATGAAGAAAATATGTCCAAATTTTAAAATTTGAAAAAACAACCAATAAGGTCCAGATGTCCTACTGAGTACCGGGTAATAAAGTTGTGACGTAAAAAGCGTCTCACGCGTCTCTCTTCGTTACACGTTATGATACATTTTAGAGTCTTTGAAACCAATTTAGACAGCCTGCTGATCTACCTGGATCTTGAATGCTTTACTTTGAAAGCGACACAGTTAGTTGGTCTTGCTGGTGGGTTGTTGCAGGAGTTTTTGGGGCATGAAATTCAGCTATCTAAGCACATATTTTGTACAAACATTTACATATGTACATATGCACATATTTATGTACTTAGGCGTAGAACTGGATTTAATTACTCAAGACACTCAGGATATATTAAGTTTTTTATGTTTTTTATATTAACTGGAAAAAATAAACTGCTGTTTACGCT